TTCACTCAGCTCACAGCATTCCAAGCTGCTTTCGTCACGTCCTGGCTTAGTTCCCTTGTAAGCGCCTCCTCTCAGCCTCGAGACACAGAAGGTTAACCTTTCACTACACCCAACAGATAACACTAGCAGAGCAGCTGAGCAGCTGACTCACCATAGCAGACCTGTTAGAGGGTTATCGAAACAAGGTTGGCTTTTAAAATATGGTTCCCATATATGTAAACAGAGGGGGAAATGAGCTACAATCTGCAGGATCACAAGCATCCTTGTGGAGAAACACATGTACTTGGAAAAAGTAAGTGACTACCTTTAGTATCCAATATGATTTTTCAGCTGTAGTTAGGTATTGCAAACCACCTTCTATCAATATCTTCCCTACCAATGTACTCTAATCATTGTTGGTTATGTTTACTCTTTCTCTCTCTCGCTCGCTATATATATATATATTATACTCTCTCTGTGTGTGTGTGTGTGAGAGAGAGAGAGAGAGAGTGATATATAATGATGCTCAATAATCAGAATGCTTAGTTTGTCTTCTACAGTAAGTGACTTAAGTCAGGCATGGCCAAAACTGGCCATCCAGATGTTTTGGGACTACAACTCCCATCATCCCTAGCTAACAGGACCAGTGGTTGGGGATGATGAGAATTGTAGTCCCAAAACATCTGGAGGGCCAAGTCTGGCCATGCCTGGACTAAGTTGACCAGTCAGTTCCCTCTCCCATAGGTTTTCACAGCAATGGCCAATTCCCTCCCGAAATTGCATAAATTACCCTCTATCCAGCAGACAATGGAGACATTTGTCCCAGATGCCAGCTGTGCCTTCAGTGCCAAGAACCCAAATTCTGAGCAATCCCACAACTACTGCTGTCATCATCACATTCTGTAGCAGGTAACAATATATAATCAGGTGTAGCATGAAAGGTGGGGAGGGCAGATGTGTCACCCAGAAAGGAAAGGACAAGAAGTGATTAGGAAGAGCAAAGCAGACTGAGGAATGCAGTGCAATGGGTGTAAGCTAGACTCTAACCCAGGGATAGTCAGCCTTTCTATACCTATCGCCCACTCACGCATCTTTCTTGATGGTAAAATTTATTTACCGCCCATCAATGCTCAATGGAAGGAGGAATCAGCTTGTGCCATAGAACCCCCTGCTGCCCACCTAGAATCCTGAAATGCCCACTAGTGGAAGGTAGGGACCAAGTTGCCAACCCCTGCTCTAACCAAAGTAACAAAATGTTCAGGGTTGCTCTTGACTGTGTAGACACAATTCTTTTCACTTCTTTTAAGGCACTAGAAGAATAGCATGTTCTTCCTCCTACTTGTCACCTTTTCTGATCCATGGAAGTAAGTAAAATAATTACTTTCATTTCATGCACACAAAATCTCTGATGCAAATCTAGGATTGGCTTCCATACAAAAAGAGAGACAGAGACAGAGAATGGATAGAGATCAGGATGGAGGGAGACACAAACGGCAGTCATTGCTTGACAAATCCATAGTCAGATTATAAATGTTTGATATTTTTTTTCAGAGGATGGTGTTTCATCTGAAAATTGCTTTTCCTGCTTACCATTCTTATATTTCTTGTAATTTTAAACATGGATAAAAAAAGGGCAATAAAAAAATCAATTTGAAAGTGTTTTCCTAAATTATTTTGAACTATTGATCCAAGACTTTAACCCTCACTTTGCCAATGGTTGAACTGATGTGCAAAATCATCACTGATGTGCATTTCATACCTGCAGAATTCTTCTTGTGAAGTTCCCTCCTCTCACTGCTCTGCAAACGAAATGGTGAATGGGAAGTCTGTGTGTGCCTTCCATATCTCCAACCCTGTCCTCTCTCGCAATTCAGTGCAAGTTTATTGACTTAAAATTCTTTCTACAGTAAACTACTTAATTTGGGGAAAGGGGTGGTTCCTAAGTGGTGTACGAACAATAAAAATCAACATAGAAACAGTAAAACAATGCCTTTTAAAAATCCTATCACCTTCTTGGTAGGGATACTTCAAATTCTGGTTATGAATTGACCTGAATTGCACCTCCCAGATATCCACCAGCTTTCATATTTCCCAAATATTCTGATGTAATTTTTGGCTCAAATGGACATATTAAAATGAGTAACGCTGCATATTTTCTGAGGGCTGGAAAGTGACCAGACCTATCAGTCCTGACAGCTACCACTATATACTCCTCTCTTTTCACTCCAGGATGACATATTTCCTTGTGCTATTTCACACATTCATGTTATGAGCTATGTACACTGTGTGCTATTCTAAGCCACTGGTGGCTAACTTATAGCACCTCCAGATGTGGTACCAGTCAGTTCGGTAAATGGACAGGGATGATGGGAGTTGTAGACCAACAGAATTTGGAGGTCCACAGTTAGGCACTCTTATCCTAAGGAAATACAGTGTTACAATAAAACTGCCATTGGAGGTAAAGGGTGATGGCTTGAGCACCACTACAGTCTTGCACAGGTAGTGATCAGTATATCAGCATTGCATGGAAACCACAGGGAAGACAGTAGACAAAATGATGAAGTGGAGAAAGGTTCATAGACAATGGAAAGGCAGGAGCACTGTGGATCTAATGCCCCCCTGCTGGTTGAGTACTAGGTTTATAATGTGAATTTATTGTCCAGAATGGGCAAGTCTTGAAGCCACACCATCCTAATGCAAATGACCCTCCCTTCACCTCAAGTTGTACTTTTCCTTTGTTCCTTACAAGGATCACAACTGCTGCCATGGGGGAGTGTGTCATGTTGTTTCCTTGAATACATTTAGTTCTTTTCCCGTTCTCCTTTGCTTGGAAACGGACAGGATTACTAATAGTCTCAGTATTATTCCTGCTGAGGCATCTTTTATATTTCAGTAGGACATGTAAATGCAACTCCTCCATAGCTTAGCCACTTTCAAAATGAAGAAATAAGTAATGTGTGTGGAGAGAGAGACTCTTCTGCATTCTTATAGGGAAAAAGAACATTTAGGGTGTGTGCTTTTCTTTTTTTTAAAAAAAATGGTAATTTTGAAGATACAGTTGCCATAACAACTCCTCTAATTCTTTTGACACCTTTAATTGAGCATTGACCAAAAATACTAGTAATTGGGGTGGGAGGAATGAATGTTTCAGTTGCCTTTGCAACTATAGAGCAAGCATAGAATAAGTAGATCTGGCTTCTCCTTCATCTTATGGATTTATTGCATTTGTATCCATCCCTTCCTTCACGGAGTTCAGGAGAGCGTACATGTCTTCACAGCAGCCCTACAAGGGAGGTTAGGCTGTGAGAAAGCGACAGAACCAAGGATGAGAATCCAAGTATCCCTATTCGTAGTCTGACACTAGATTGATTACACCACAATGCACACACTAAGACCCAGTTCACATGGCTGGCTGTGAACAGAGGCTTCTGACTGGCTGCAGTGACAGCAGCTATGAGAACCAACAACTACAGGCATCCACAAAAACCAACCATCCAGCCCTCTCAGTAACTGCGTCTCTGCCTCTTGCTTGCTCATTCACTCTGCAGTACCTAACTTCATATAATGGCAGAGATGAAGAAGAATTTACTGCAACTTCCTTCTTCCTCTGCGCTGTTAGAAGCAGCAGTGTTTGTCGGTGAGTGAGTAAGCAGTAAAGAGGCATCATTACTGAGAAGATTGGATGGGGCTCTCCACAGTTGGTTGTCAGCTTCAGTTCTGATGAGTGCTGCTACAGTCACTTGGAGGCTTCTGATGATGTAATAGTCAGTTCACAGGCTGTCACAATCTGCCATTATTCTACCTCAGTGACAGTTCTATTTCAGGAAGGGCCATGGCTCAGTTGCAGAGTACATGAGTTGCATGCAGGAGATTTCAGGTTCAATCATTGGCATTTTCAGGCAGGACTGGGAAAGACTTCTGCCAGTCAGTGTAGTCAACACAGAGCCAGATGGACCTATGGTAAGACTCAGTATATAAGGTCAATTCATATTTCTTCCAGCACCCCTTTTGACTTGCGGAGAGCATCCACGTCCATATTATAATCTGGAAAATGACGGGTCGGGAATTTAAAGCCATTGGGAATATTCTCCAGTTGCAAACAAGGAAAGAAAAAATACCTTGGTTTGCAGTTAATATTTCTGTGGCAATTTTACCATGAATAATAAGTTGGAGCCACATCTCCCAATCTATAAAGACAGCCATTTTGACCTGTTATATCTTTTTACAAATAACCTACACAGAAGTAATAAATAATACAGGCACACCGACATACTTGTAACACCCCTCATCTCACACCACAGATTAATCCCTGAGCACTTGTCTCAGTTCATCCCATACTACATATTGCAGAGAGCACTTCTTCAGGGACTGTATGTTACATCTAAGTGCTGTGCAATTGGCTGACGTGCCCTAACTTCTGAAGCAGTTTTCTTATTAAAAAAAGAGCTAAACATATATCATGTCACAATGGATCCATGTGTACTTATTAAGGGATATCAACCAAAACACATTTGGCAACAATTATAATTTGGATAGTAGGTTATATTACTGGAGGGAATAGAACCACTGTGTTGGGATTTACAAGGGTCTCTGGTAACGAAGAAAGCTGGAACATATCATACTGGAAAGGGGGTTTCTGAGATCAAGGAGCAGGCTTTTGTCTTCACTTGGATACAACTGGACGTCATAGAATCATAGAGTTGGAAGAGACCACAAGGGCCATCGAGTCCAACCCCCTGCCAAGCAGGAAACACCATCAGAGCACTCCTGACATATGGTTGTCAAGCCTCTGCTTAAAGACCTCCAAAGAAGGAGACTCCACCACACTCCTTGGCAGCAAATTCCACTGTCAAACAGCTCTTACTGTCAGGAAGTTCTTCCTAATGTTTAGGTGGAATCTTCTTTCTTGTAGTTTGGATCCATTGCTCCATGTCCGCTTCTCTGGAGCAGCAGAAAACAACCTTTCTCCCTCCTCTATGTGACATCCTTTTATATATTTGAACATGGCAATCATATCACCCCTTAACCTCCTCTTCTCCAGGCTAAACATGCCCAGCTCCCTTAGCCGTTCCTCATAAGGCATCGTTTCCAGGCCTTTGACCATTTTGGTTGCCCTCCTCTGAACACGTTCCAGTTTGTCAGTGTCCTTCTTGAACTGTGGTGCCCAGAACTGGACACAGTACTCCAGGTGAGGTCTGACCAGAGCAGAATACAGTGGCACTATTACTTCCCTTGATCTAGATGCTATACTCTATTGATGCAGGCCCAGAATTGCATTGGCTTTTTAGCTGCCGCGTCACACTGTTGGCTCATGTCAAGTTTGTGGTCAACCAAGACTCCTAGATCCTTTTCACATGTACTGCTCTCAAGCCAGGTGTCACCCATCTTGTATTTGTGCCTCTCATTTTTTTTTTGCCCAAGTGCAATACTTTACATTTCTCCCTGTTCAAATTCATCTTGTTTGTTTTGGCCCAGTTCTCTAATCTGTCAAGGTCGTTTTGAAGTGTGATCCTGTCCTCTGGGGTGTTAGCCACCCCTCCCAGTTTGGTGTCATCTGCAAATTTGATCAGGATGCCCTTGAGTCCATCATCCAAGTCGTTGATAAAGATGTTGAATAAGACCGGGCCCAAGACAGAACCCTGTGGCACCCCACTAGTCACTCTTCTCCAGGATGAAGAGGAACAATTGATGAGCACCCTTTGGGTTCGGTCAGTCAGCCAGTTACAAATCCACTGAGTGGTAGCATAGTCAAGACCGCATTTTACCAGCTTCTTTACAAGAATATCATGGGGCACCTTGTCAAATGCCTTGCTGAAATCAAGGTAGGCTACATCCACTGCATTCCCTTCATCTACCAGGCTTGTAATTCTGTCAAAAACGAGATCAGGTTAGTCTGACATGACTTATTTTTCAGAAATCCATGCTGACTATTGGTGATCACAGCATTCCTTTCTAGGTGCTCACAGACTGTTTGCTTAATGATCTGCTCCAGAATCTTCCCTGGTATTGATGTCAGACTGACTGGGCGGTAATTATTTGGGTCCTCTCTTTTCCCCTTTTTGAAAATAGGGACAACATTTGCCCTCCTCCAGTCTGCCGGGACTTCGCCTGTTCTCCTGGAATTCTCAAAGATGACTGCCAGTGGTTCTGAGATCACATCTGCCAGTTCTTTTAATACTCTTGGATGCAGTTCATCTGGCCCTGGAGACTTGAATACATCTAAACTAGCCAAGTATTCTTGTACTATCTCCTTAGTTATTCTGGGCTGTGTTTCCTCTGTTGAATCATTTGCTCCAAATTCTTCAGGTTGGGCATTGTTTTCTTTATCGGAGAAGACTGAGGCAAAGAAGGCATTGAGGAGTTCAGCCCTTTCTGTGTCCCCTGTTTGCATTTCACCATCTTCTCCTCTGAGTGACCCCACTGTTTCTTTGTTCTTCCTTTTGCTACGAACATACCCATAAAAGCCATTTTTGTTGCTTTTAACCTCTCTAGCAAGCCTGAGTTCATTCTGTGCTTTAGCTTTTCTGACTTTGTGTCTACACGTGCTGGCTATTTGTTTGAATTCCTCTTTGGTGGTTTCCCCCACCACGTTTTGAATCAAAATGGCAGTCTCAACCATTCAAAACTGCACTGATTTAAACCACTGATTTAAATTTGTGGGCTTCTTAAAACTCCCTGGCAATGCTGGGTATGAGGCTGCTAGTCCTATATATGTTATGGGAGGCAGCTCCAAGTATATGAAGCAGCAAGGAAGAAAGAACAGAGTCATTTGAGGAAACAGAAGACTTGTAGGCGGCAAAAAGCAATGGACCTGGATAGAGAGGAATGAACCAGGAGAACTGAGTAAGAGCAAGACCCAGAAAGCCTTTTGTGTTTGCTACTGCTACTTACGCAACATATTCCAAAGTGACCCAGGGAAGGAACACAGAAAAGAACCACCTACAGCCCTCTAGCTCCAAGCTGGCCATAGACACGTAAGTCTCAATAGCCAGCCCTGGAAAAGAAGCCCTCTTATTTACCATAGGAGTTAAATCATGCCATCCCTAGATTCCATTTTATTTAAGAAACGCTTCAAAAACCAATTTCCCCCCTCTAAATCCTATAAACATTGTCCTAGCTCTGCAAGCCGCCAAGCTTGATCTTATCATAGACGGTGAGCTTGTTTTCTTTAGTTTTTCCACACAGCAATTGAGCAGAGGCGGGTGGCCCATTCCTTGCCCCTTATCGTTTGTCATTTATACAGCTCTGCAGGGAACCGGGGCTCCTATCTCACGTAAGACTCCCTTATAGCTTCTTTCTGCCGCACAACTTTTTCTCCTTTTTTAAAAAAAAGGGGGGGAGAAAAGAATCTGGATCCGCATTCAAATGACATTTATCAATAGGCATCTCCTGAGCTTCCACACAGCAACACAATGGAAGCTTAGCCCCCATTAATGGTCCAAGCTGTTGGGTTCAACATACAAAGAGGTAATCCAATCATTTTGTCCCCATCTGGAAAGATTTCCATTGCCTTTTTCTCCAAATTTAAAACTAACCAAAATGTGCATGCCGTTCCCAGACAGAGGGAAGTGGTACTCATTACCCATAGGAAGAAAAAGCTTCAGCACTGATTTAAAAGAGGTGAGGGGGAGTACATGGAACCTACATTTCCTTCGCTGCCACTGCTTGTTGTTATAATTTTTGTATTGAAGGGCTTTCTCTAACTTTATGACATCTCCACCAATATTGTGGCGCTTTTATAAAATCAGAGTTGGAAGTATACCATGGTCAGTGCTACATCTGAGAGTTCATTCCTGGCAGGTTGTTATCCAGCCTCTGCTTAAATACCTCCAATGAATGAAAGCCCGTCTGCCTCCACCTTATCTAAACAGCTCATACTCTTAGGAAGTGTCTCATAATATTAAGCAAAACTCTGCTTCCCTGAATTTCAAGCCAGGGGTTATAACAAGGCTACTAAGGGATGTGTCTTGAGGAGTTGGCATGGACTAAGGAGAGTTCCTAGCACCGAATAGATAGACCTGGAGGACCACACTTGGTTCCCAGGTCTGAGTTTCCCCACCCACTTTCTCCAAAGTAAACACAGCTGTGTGTGTGTGTGTGTGTGTGTGTGTGTGTGTCTGTTTGTCTCTACCTAAACTAAAACACAAAATACAAGAATGTCCCCAAAGGGAAGGTGACTCAACCCACTGCTCACTTCAGTTGCCCTTCTCTGTATGTTTTCCAATGGATGGGCCGTGATTAGGACATAAATAAAGAGAACAGGAGAGAGATTAAACCAAATTGAGGCTGAAATCATATGCATGCTTACTTTTTTAGAGTAATCCCCACAGAACAGAGTGGGAATTATTTCTGTGTAGTGATGTAGTGCACTGTGAATATTTAATCCAGAACCAGAAAGCTACTTAACACAAGATCTGCTTTAGCCAGTTAATGTTTTAGAAACAATGCTCAAAGAGACACCTTCAGTCTGGCTATGCCCTCCAACTCTTTTGATACACTACACTCCCTGCTCAACAAAAATTACCTTAATACAAACATGATGAGTGCCATTCTGAGACACTGGCACAGATTAACTTTTTTTGAATCCCAGGGTAATCTTAGCCTTGGAAATGATGTCCCGTGGCAGCATGCCCTATAATTTCACTATGCATTATGTATTAAACGTATTTCCCTTTCTAACAGCACCTTTAATTCCATTAGAATTAACTTTGCTCTCCTGTTAAGGAGAAAAGGCTGAGTAAATGTAATCAGCCCTGTGAACTGTGATGACAGTTGCAAACCTGCTGTAGTCTGGAACTTGGTGTGGAGAATGCAGCTTGCTGCTGAATGAGACACAGTTGCAGGCAGCCTGAGGAAACATCTTCAATCTTGATGCTTGCCACCCCCCAAAAAACCCAATTCAATAGCGAAAAAGTCATCCATTCCTGCTTTACTCAAATATATGCTGTTGTTTGAAACTACCCCCTTTTTCTTCTCAGTGTATCTCCATTCCTGCTTTACTCAGACCTCTCCCTCTTCCACTCCTCAGCTGCCTCATATGTGAGAGAGATTATTTATATATTATTTCACTCCTGGCACCATGAGTTGTCTTCTACATGAAGTTCAAGATGCAATGTAGTAATTTGGAGCAGGTATTTTATTAACAAGCAAACACCTACATATGTACAGCATCCATCACTTAACCTGCTCTAAGTGAATAAAGTAACTGGCAGATTGCTCTTAAGAGTCTATTTGTGTTAGAGATACAGTAGCATATATATGCACAGGTAGGAGGGCTGCAGAATTGGAGGGAAGGTGAAAGAAGGAATTTAGAATCCTAGAATCTTAGAGCTGGAAGGGAGCTCAAAGGTCATCGTTCTAGAGCAGTGGTGGCCAAACTCAGCCCTCCAGATGTTTGGGGACTACAACTCCCATCATCCCTAGCTAACAGAACCAGTGGTCAGGGATGCTGGGAATTGTAGTCCCAAAACATCTGGGGGGCCGAGTTTGGCCACCACTGTTCTAGAGCAACCCCCTGCAATGTAGGAAAGTCAGCTAAAGCATCCATGACACATGGCCATCCAACCTCTGCTTAAAAACCTCTAAGGAAGGTGAGTCCACAACCTTCCAAGGAGACCGTTCCACTGCATGCTTTTTTATAGCTAGAATACAAAGCTGAAAATGAATGAACTGCAGCTAAAATATTATGTTCTTTTTTCACATAGTCTAGCCATTCCCCTGCCCAAATATTCTAAAGAGGGTCTCTTCTCCAGTCTTCAGAGAGTAGCTGGAAGTGGGGAAGCAGAAAAGGTCCTCCTTTCCTTCCACTCTGCAGTTTAAATCTGAAATCTTAGGCCCAGTGCTCAGAAACTGCTCACACTAATGAAATTCCCTGTCGCAAAATCCGTCTGGAACGATGGGAGTTTCAAACAGGGCCAGGAAACTTTGGGAATTGCACCACCCCCAACTCCAATTCCCTCCTTACATGCAAGGACATTAATAACTTTCATTCACTAAAATAGTCAAGCTTGATGCACTCAGCAAAATACCTCCTCTCTTTTAAAGAAGTGTTTTGTAATTAGTAGGAACCATACAAACACAGAAGAAAGGGCATTCTTCAGCAAACACAGTTGATCAGCCAGAAAAATCACATCAACAAGGACATTTCCATCCAGGCAGAATTCATTAACAAGGCTCTGTGTGATGTGTCGCAAAGAAGAAATCTGTCCCTTCCTGTAAGTCTCTTTTCCCTCCCAAGAAAAAGCGGGTGGGGGGTGGGGAAAGAAATTTTTGCTGGCAGAATGTGATCTGAGCATTCTCAAATCTTTGAGCCTCCAACATTAACCCATCTCCCCAGAGGCATTTCTCCTGCAAAAGCCACACGGCAGGAACCTCAGACAATAAAAGCAGGTGGCAGAACAACATAACCAGTGAACCCCCTATGGTCAAAGTCAGTTGCTTCCAATTAAGCGTTAACATGAACTCCCTCTTAAAGGAAAGAGTCAAACCTGTATCTAATCAAACACTCTCTGCTAACCTCTTTTCCCCCTGACAACAGTTGGTCAAGAGGAAAACGAGGCAGGTCCAGAGGTGGGCTCCTCTCAAGTTCTTCTGCTCTGTTAAGCAGGCCCACTCAGTCATGAGTATGCATAATCAAGCAGCAAGAAACAGGCCGCGAGTCTCTTGCTCCCGTATATTGACGGAGTGGCAAAGGCCAGCAACACATTTGATGAGCTTTCACTCTCTGTAAACAGTGAATTTGATCTTCCCAAAAGGGTCACTAGGGATCTGCTTATGTACACATGCAACAAATGCAGTTTATTCCCCACAAGTATTGCTGAAGGCAAAGCAGATGGTTTGAGGGAAATATTATCAGATTCCACCACAGGTGGAAGATGCCTTATTGATTGATTAACCATTGAATTTATTTTCTACCCTTCCTCCAAGGAACTTAAGGCAGCATACATGGTCACACACACACACACACACACACACCCCTATTTTATTCTCAGAAGAGTCTTCTTAAGCAGCAGCATATTTATTATTACATTTATACACCCCTTTTCCTAAAAAAAAAAAAAGCTCAAGATGGCACAGTTGTTCTCCCCCTCTCCGTTACTGTGAGGTACGTTAAGCTGAGAAATAGTGAGTTGTTCATGGTCACCCAACGAGCTCCATGGCTGAGCGGGGATTTGAACCCTGGTTTCTCAGGTCCTAGTCCAACATTCTAACCACTACACCACACAGACCATCCCCAGGTTAGACAGAGGGCGAGAATGACTGTCCCAGTGGGGATTTGAAGGTGGGTTTCCAAAGTCCTAGACTGATACTTTCACTATTCCACCAAAGTGGCACCTATTCCAAATTAGATTACTAATCCAACTAGCAAAGGACCCTTTATAAACTGGTTGAGTAGCTTTGCTCCTCTTAATTTTACTGCACTGTTGGTTATGTTTTATATTGTATTTGTAGATTAAAAACCTTTCATATGTACTACCCTGAAATCCATTTTTGGATGAATGGCAGATTTAAGGGAGGGCGGAGGGCAGTTTGTTTTGTTCTTGTTTTTATTATGTATTTTTGTTTTTATATTGTATTTTTAATGCTGTGATCTGCATTGAGAACTATGGCTGAAGCATGGTACACATTTAATTAATAAATAAATATGTTTACTCTGAGGCCCCATTTGCACTATATATTTAAAGCAGCATCATGCCGCTTAATACAGTCATGACTCTCCCCCAACCAAGACTCCTGTGAACTGCAGTTTGTTAAGGGTGCTAAGAATTATTAGATGACTCCCTATTCCCTTCCCAAAACTACATTTCCCAGAGTGCTTTAACAATCAACCCTTCTTCCCATTTACTTCTATTGCTACTCAAGAATTTTAGCATTCCCATATATTGGCCATGTTCCATAGACAGAAACCACAGTAAACGAAGTGAACCATAAGCACCATGCATCAGGACAATATATTAACATATTTATTGGCCTCTCCATCCAACCGAGTCTCTTCCATAAAAGATATGCTACCCCTGACACCAATTTCCACTTTTTCTTTTTGCTGAGTGTGTGAAAATGTCTCTGGTTATCAAACCGGTGCCTAATGGAAGCCAACAATATTTAATGATGTGGACTCCATCTGAGAGCTCAGCTCAGGCCCTACTGCCAAACTGCCCATGCCAAGACCATTTTGCCCTCAGAAAGGTCCTGCTGTGGCTGATGCATCTCAATGAGGTCCTGGGCTACAGACTGGAGAGGTTTCCCTGGTAACAGTGTTCCAGCAGAGCAGGATATTGATTACCCCAAGGAATGAGTTGCCACCTGGAAAAAGATTTAGGGAACATGAACGCAGACCAGGTGCATGAAACCAAGGAAGAAGTTAAGAGGAGAAAGTTGGGAATTCATATCTGAGCCAGTGAGCAAGGAAGAAAAGAGGAAATATGCTATTAGAATTACTTGCTGTGCAGAACAGAGACCTAAAACCCATAAGTCCTCCATCAGACTTCCAATGAAGTCAAAGCAATGGAGGGTGCTTGGTATTGATATTTGGAAGAGGTAAGTCAGCCTCCTCATTTTTAAGATAGCTCTATGACAAAGTTCACTTTCCAATTACATAGATGAGAAGTCTACATTATGAGATAGCAATGGGTAGCACAATGCTAACCATGCCTACTCAGAAGTAAGTCAATGGGGCTTATTCCCACGTAATTAGGGTTAGGAGTCCAGCCTATATACACATTCTGTTCGGAGACACAAACGGTGTCTCTGAAAAATTTTACACATCACTTGGGAAGACAGACAAACTAATACCAGTGTACTGGAACAAGCAAAGATCACCATTGCTGAAGCAGTCAAAATCAATAAAAAAATTGTCCAGTAGCAACTTAGAGACCAAGTTTGTTCTAGGTATAAGCTTTCCTGTGCATGCACACTTCATGTTGTATGAATGCCTGATTATCGTCTTCCAAAGCAACTACTCTATTCCGAACTTTAAAATGGAAAGTGTAATGCTGGTGGTCAACAAAAGACATTTAAAGACTGTCTCAAGGCAAATTTTTAAAATGTAGTATAAACACCAACAACTGGGAAAGATTTGCCTGTGAGTGTTCCAATTGGAGAACAGCCTTTACCAAAGGTGTCATGGGCTTTGAAGACACTCGAACTTAGGACGCAAGGGAGAAATGTGCTAAGAGGAAGGCACACTTGGCAAATCCACACCGTGATCAACTCCCGCCCAGATACCAATGTCCCCACTGTGGAAGGACGTGTGGATCCAGAATTGGCCTCCACAATCACTTATGGACTCATTGTTAAAACCGTGTTTATGGAAGACAATCTTACTCGGCTATGAGTGATCGCCAAAGAAGAAGAAGAAAGAAATAAAGATATACACATACAAATACACACACACAGGGATCCTGGATGATGATTACATCTGTTTAATCCACATGTTTTCAACAGCTGCTTGTCATATCCACACTGGACATTTTTAAATGTATAAAAACCTTAGGAATGGACCTAAAGTGAAATGTGTGAGCCAAAGTCTTTAAAGTCTGAGTTCCAAAGGAAAAGCCATCAGAATTCAGACCACCATACTACCTGAGGTTTGTGTCTCGGGCGCTGGGTTTAATTTAAGTTATCATAACAAGAAATATGGATACATGTGCAATATCTGCACTGATGTCATTGACATAATCTTCATTTTGTTGGCTGCTTCTTCTGCCCTACGATTTGGTTTCTGAAATGAAAGTGACCTACTTGTTTTGCCTGGTCTCCAGTGTTCTTGTTAACTTTAAAAGGTGCCACCTTTGACAACGGCTCCAATTCTCAACCAGATTGCTTGGCAAGAAGAGTCCCACCATGGTTAATCTGTTCAGTGATACCAGACCTGGCACCATGTCTAACAGAGTTGTTTCTGGGCTTGTCTATGCACAGCCTGGACCTGAGAATTCCTCTGCCTCACTGAACTGCCAGATCAGAGTTTCTGCTGTGGCTTGATATCTAACTTTACAGACTGCTTACAAAAAAAAACCGAACACCAACAACAACCAACACCTGAGCCACTAGGCTCATTTCAGCTTCTGGGCTCATGACTACAGGATTCTAAGACTATCAAAATCATGTTCTCCTTCCTGCTCACACTTCTGGATACAATTATTATGGCAGTGATTTTCAAATCTCCTTTTTACTAGAGGGGCATTGTCTCATTGTAAATAAGGGAGAGGTTTTGTTGCTTGCCAGTTTCACCCTGACCATATTTGACAGCATGTGATCAGATAGGTTATTTTGAACATTTTCTCCCATCAACATAATGATCCTTCTGTTCTTCAAAATCTTGAGAACAAAGCTCAATTCCTCCATTTCCTGGTTGTTAAGAGACAACTGTGATCCATGGCTGGACCTGGAAGCATCCAAACGCCTAAGTCTGCAATGCCATATTGAATGAAGTGTTTCAGTGTTGTTTCTTTCAAAATATGTTCTAAAGAGCAGATGCACTGTAAGCCAAGTTGTCTTATTAAAGGATAATTGATATGTTATCCCAGTTTTCAGACTACAGCCCAGAGTCCTGGGTTCTTTGGGAGCTTATCAATGCTTCCTTAAATGAGAAGAGCACTGAAAAAACATGCTCACTGCCAATAATCATCTTTCTCCACAGCACACAAAGTTCAGAGTGCTGGTACTGATATCCATAGCTTTATACAGTGTGGGGGCAGAACACCTAAAACAGTGGTCTTCAAGCAGTCTGCCGTGGCACCCTGAGGTGCCTTGAATGATAGTCAGGGGTGCAGCAGGCAACACTGGCCTCTGTCCCTCTTTCCTTCCCTCCCTCTTCTGATGCCCACCTCTGCCTCCCAAAGGTTTGCACAGCTGTTTGTTGCAGCAGCCCTGGCTAAAAGCTCTGAAGGTTAATGGTGCTGGCCAGGGAGTGCTGGTTGCCAGGAGCTGAGGTGGTCTTGGAGTAAGCAAGCATGTGGGCAAGAGAACCCAGTCAGCCAGCCAGCCAGCCCTTGCTGTTGGGAATGGGCAGACAAGTTGGAGGTTGGGCAGGCAGGCAGGCAGGCAGGCACTGCACTGGCCTTTCTTGTGCAAGGCCTGCCTTGGAGCTGATGGTCCAGTGCTGAAGGGGAGCCTTCCTGCTTTGCAGGCCCAACAATGCCTGCTGTTACCATTGCCACTTCCCAAGGTGAGCTGGCCTCACTTTCACCTTTGGCCAGTCTCTGTTGGGCCACTAAGGCTGGGGGCATCTTCTTCCCAGGCCCCTGTGGGGCAGTGAGAGGAGGCACCTCTCTTTGGGGTGAGGTGGGGGGCAGCCCCGAGACCAGGGGTGGCAGCAGTGGCTGCCTGGACGACTCCCAAGGAGTGCCACAGAAAGAATGTAGTTGGTCAGGGGAGCCATGGACTCAAAAAGGTTGAAAACCTCTAACCTAAAAGATTGTCTCACCTCTTATATACCCAGTCAATCACTGCACTCTGCTGGAGAGGGAATTCTGAAGATACCATATCATATCCTCCCTCTTGTTTTTTCAGTACTTGTTGAAGACTCTTCCCTTTCAACAAGCCTGCAAGGTGGAGATTTTTACTCCAATCAGTATTTGCAGTAGATTTGAATTTTTTTATTATTATTATTATTAATTCATAAATATTTTAATATAGTAACAATTTTTAACTGTTTTTACATAAGCAATTGTTTATCTATGTGTTTACTGAATTGTGGAACCACTTCAAAATGCCTCATGAGAAGCAGTTCATGAATGCAGTAATAATACTGTTGATAATAACAGAAGCATCTTGGATGTGTTCAAAAGCACTCTTGATTCTCAGTGAGGAATGGTGAGCTCCAGTACTGCCCTGTGTGAATGGACAGTGCACCCAAGGACATGGCTCAGGATTCTCTCCACCGAACAATGCTCCTTGGAGACACACAGAAGTCCTTTCACTGTGATATAGCACTGTGGGTTCATTCTCAGCCATGTTGTACACTAAAATACCATTGTATGCTGGCTTTCAAATCCTGCAAAATGCTGATGAAGATAACTGGAAAAACCAAACATGATTTGATGTCAAAAGCAGATCTCCAACGCTTGGAAAATATTCAAGACAACAAAACGCTATCTGGGGAAATACGCAAAAGGGGAATTTAAGGAGAATTTCTGGGAACAAATTTGCTTCAGTTCTACTGGAGCCCCTGGCCCAACATCTACCCCCAATTACTCAATTAGCAAAGTGTTTCCAACAAGAACACATTA